AATAATGTATAATGCCTATAAGAGCCGACACAGGATGAACGTGTGTAATAAACAATTTATTAATAAGTTAATATAAAAATATAGAGTAAACGTTTCGACCCTTGTTTCGGGTCCTCATCAGTACAAACAAAATGGAATTAACTTAAAGTATGATAAATCTAAAAAACGGAGTGGTTGCGAAGATTGTGTCCAATCTTGTGACAATAACATCAATTTGGCAAAATTACGGAAAAAGAACAACGGACGCAAATTAAGAAAGAAATTGAAGCTAAAGCGACCTTCTTACATAAAATTTTGCGTGACAGCTTACCATGTGCAAAAAGCGCTATTGACAACAGTTTTCAACTGACTAATGACATTAAAAAAGTGACAATTTCTGACAAATCTTTGCTTTTATTTCTTGACGTTACTTCTCTTTTTACCAATATTCCTATCGACCTCGCACTTGAAATTCTGACAATGAAATGGCGCTTTATTGAACGTAATACAAATATATCTAAACCCGAATTTTTTAAAGCATTAAAACTAGTCCTCAACTCGACATTTTTTTACATTCAACAATTTCTATAAACAGACTTTTGGAATACCGATGGTTCTCCGTTGTCTCCTATAGTCGCTGACATTGTCATGCAAGAGTTGGAGTCTCTTTCATTAAACAAACTCTCAGTAACATCCTCCTTCTATGTGAGATATGTTGATGACATTCTGTTTATCACTGAATCTTCAGACTTTAACGAAATTCTAGATACTTTTAACTCTTACCATCCTCGCTTAAAGTTCACCTATTTGGGGATTCAATCAAGAAGTAATAGAACATTTTATAGGTATGTAAAACAATTGATACATATACAGGGTGACCCATTTTAACTTAGACAGCCAAATAACTCGAAATATCGGGATTAAATAAAAAAATGTTTAAAACAAAAATTGTTGGATGTGAAGGGGCTGATTGAACTATGACCTTGACAATGACCTTGACCTTCATTTTCAAGGTTATTTGAAGGTCTACTTTCAATTTTCAAATAGAAACCCATAT